GAGTGCACTTTGAAAATGAGAATGTAATTAATTATTATTATTTTATTATTAAGAGCTTTAAATAGCTTGGTTACTGTGTAATACACTCCTAGAATTACAGGGATAATATGTCAGCTGCAGGTAATGACGGAGTATTGCATGCCAAATAAGTGCCTTCAGCTGCATGATTCTTTTTTCCTCCATTGTGAAATATCTATATTCATATTTTCCAATCTGTGTTTTTCCTACAGTAATTAAAATATGAAGACAATTTATAACACAGCCTGAAGTAACAAGACACTGTCAGGGTGTGAGAGGAAAACTGCATTTGGCTGCCAAGGTATTACATTTATTACACAAAAGAGTCTATTTCAATACACATTTGAAAAAATATTGGTAGAAACACCTGTGCGACTATCATATTTTAACAAGGTATGAATGGTTTTAGTGTCTCCCAGGGAGCACTGCCATTTTAAGCTGCGAATGCCACTTCATCTCTTGACTTCTCCGTGCGTCCATTTCCCTGCTGGCACAATTGGGCTAATCATGGGCACTGCTTTTCCAGTATGCTGGGGAATGTTCAACCCTGGCTCTGAACCAGGCCCCCACCCTACCCTTCCCCTAAGGTCCCGCCCCCACCCCTCATCTTTCCACCCCATTCTGCCTCTTCTGGCCAGGTTGAGTGCACTGCATCCTCACTCTTTTCCCTACCTCCCAGAGCATCTTGTATGCCCTGAAATAGCTGATTGCAATTGGCGGGACGCGTGGGGAAGGAAGAGGAGATGCTGATTGATGGGGCCTGCTGGTGGGAAGGAGGCACTGGGGGGAGTGGGAGTTGCTGATAGGGGACCAGCCAATGGATGCTCAGCACCCACCATTTGCCCCCGGGGTACTCCAGCCCCAGAACACCCATGGAGTTGACTAATGGGGCCAATAATCACAGGAATGTTTGTGAGGGTAAATTAATAACTTTCTCACTTGGAAGACGCTACTGAAATGCAAATTATTATTGACTAGAAAAGCATCCATAGAAAATGTTTGTATGAAACCACTTTTTTTTTTTTTTTTTGTAAAATGCATTAAATGACAGAACTTACCTGAAAACATCTGTGAAAGTCCCTAGCTCCAGACTGCCAGCGGAGAGACAAGATGGCAGCTTCTTCCTTCATGAACAACCTTCCGTTTTCATTATGCTTCACAATTGACAAATCATTTGTGATTTGCACACGCGTCTACCACTTTTCTAATACGTTTTTAAACAAACTTAGGTTTTCCTTCAGATGAACCATCCCCAACAAAACCTCAGTAAGGAGTAAATTCATCCCTCAGCCAGGGGTTAGCACAAAACCTGCACACCTCTTAAAGCCTGAGTCTTTACATGAGACCTGAAGTTATGCATAAACCTTGTGCTGGGTCTTTCCACAGGCATGAATTCCATCCTGCTCTCTGTACATGATTGCAGCAAGGTCATTTTCCAGCACACACAGCCCTTTGATAGAGGATACACACACACACAAACACACACACACACACACTTGGTAGAACCCTCCCATTTCCCAGGAGCTGGAATACCTAACTCCTCCCACACCCCAGAGATAAAATATAATAAAACTATTTTCCCCAAAATCCAAAAATTTATATTAAAAAAAGGTAAAGAGAATTTCACTGACTTCTTTCACACACAGTTGTGATGCAGGACCTGTAGTCCTCATGGCTGTGGACCTCCTGGCTCTAGAGGGTCTGGGCAGCAGGCTGGGTGGCAGGCCCTAAGTGAAAACAGTTAACCAGTTAACCCTTTTAACTCCTCTAAGTGCAACCCAGAAAGAGTTTGTTCTTGTTTGAGATAATGTGTCTTTAGTACAACCCCTAGTCTCGGTGAAGAGGATCAGAGCAGAATTCCTGCGAAAGATGAATTGTTGCCTAAAGAGGTTCCTGAGCCGAAGAATTCTCAGGTTTTTGGTAAGTAATTGATTGCAACTGAGAGATGTGAAAGTGATTTGCTTGAGGCAGACCAAGATGAATTTTTGTCTGTGGAAGGCAACAGTTCATTCATCGAGAGGCTTGTTTCAATTCCTAACTCTTGAAAATAGATCTGGGGGCTTTGCTTTGGAGGGATCCAGTGTAAAGCATTTAGTTAAGGTTTTGGATGAAAATTGTCAGGGAATGTGAACAGCCCTCGGATGACCAAGTGGCTTTGTTTGACCAGCTTGCTGGGGAGGCAGTGTTGTTGGGACAGGAATGTCTCCATATTGATTCTGTAAGTGAACAGTCTGTGTCACAGAGAATCTGGGCAGCTAAAAATGTAGAGCAGAACAGCTGTGCAATTAGTCTCTCCAGTATGCAGAGGATGACAGGTAAATTCTCATTTCTAGACACTGTGGATATGTCCCATAGTCTCTCAGTGCACTTGACATCTGATTATATGTGGAAGCAGAGGTTGGCAATAGACAAAAGAACCTTGAGACTAACATACTAGAGAAAACGGATGGTATCTCTTAAGGACAGAGTCCATCCTTGGAATTGGTAACAGTTAGGGATCTGAAAACTAAATAGTCTGTGTTTATGCAGATTACCTGATTGGAGGAAGAAAGACTTACCTGTAGTTGTCAGACACTTTGTATATATAAAAAAAGCCATGCAATACTGATATTTCAAAGCTAATGCCTGTAACCAGTCTTGAAACTGTACACAGGAGAAATGTCATTACAAACTTAATGTGCTGTATGAAAGAGCTTGTATCAATTAATTGACTATTTTCTTTAGCTCTTGGCAAGATCACATAAGACATACGGGAATCACACTGCAAGGGCAGATTCAATCCACTCTTGGTCTAGCCACGTTTTACTTTTAGTTGTTAAAGAGATTCAAAATTATCATTATTCCCATAATAAACCATACAAAGAAAAAGCCTGTTTTAATAAAACATGATTTTGACAAAGCATTTTTGTTATACGTTGACACTTCTAATTCGAGAAGCTGTAGGAAAACAGAACCAAAGAAAGTTCCTGTGACACATTCATCAGTGTCTGGGCCACTGCTTCCTGTATCAGTTTTCCGTTGGGGGTGTGTGATGCTATCAGACTAAAATATGACCAGACAGAGCTCTGTTGAAACCACCATTGTATATTTGCAACAAATCTTGTAAAAAAGTTGTTGAGTAAAGTGTTTGGTTATGTTTAGACTACATGCCTCTGCTGACGGAGGCGTGTAAATTAGACTACCCGACATAGTCAACGAAGCGGGGATTTAAATATCCCCAGCTTCATTAAAATAAAAGTGGCCACCATGCTGTACTGGCTCAGCTCATCGTTGGCACAGTGCGACAGTCAAGACGTGGATCGGTCGACAGGGAATGCCTTTGTTGACCGCTCCCTTATGCCTTGTGAAACAAGGTTTACAGGAGCGGTCGACAAAGGTGTTCCCTGTCGACTGATCCATGTCTTGACTGCCGTGCTGTGCCAACGATGAGCTGAGCCAGTACAGCATGGTGGCCATTTTTATTTTAATGAAGCTGGGGATATTTAAATCCCCGCTTCGTTGACTATGTCGGGTAGTCTAATTTACACGCCTCCATCAGCAGAGGCATGTAGTCTGGGCATACCCTCTGTGAAAAGGTTATGATTTGCTAACTATGACTATATTGTGTCCAGTTCTGGACGTACAGAAAAGCAGAACGGTCTAAATTGTTCCACATGAAAGGGCTCACAGTTAGCAGGAAGAATCTTGCAAATGCAGGGGCTAGACTTTAGAGCTCTATGAGAAGGAAGAGAGTGGGTCTGGCCCACGAAAGCTCATCACCTAATAAACCATCTTGTTAGTCTTTAAAGTGCTACATAGTCCTGTCTTTTGTTTTGGGTAAGGGAAGGTTATTCTGATCAGGAGGCAATATGGTTTTCCCTGCTTGGACTGGTCTGACCTGTTTCCTCCTCCTTCCTTCCTCACCCCTCTTCCCCCGCCCCGTTTTCCTCACCCTGCCCTGTTCAAAGAACAGAGCTAAACAGGCATCATTAGGTGCCTCTTTTGTTATGCTAATTGGGTTGGAGTTGTGTTTCTTCTCTCCTACTTGCTGAGAGTTGAAATCACTGGGTGCTGAAATCACTGGGTGCTGAAATCATTTCAGACAGATGGGCAGAATTCACAGTGAAAGAATGCATCCCTTACAGCTAGCTGGAATGGGAGAGAAACCTTTGGGGTATCTGTATAAATGCAGTTTGTTCCTGCTTCACTAGATGTGTTAGATATTCAGCAGATGGAGTAGTATTTTGCTCATTGTAATCAACTTAACTTGTGACCCAACACAAACTGTGTAATAAATGCCAGGATAGCTCAGATATGGTCACCCATGTTTGTAATTTTGCGGGAATACAGAAAAGCAGAACGGTCTAAATTGTTCCACATGAAAGGGCTCACAGTTAGCAGGAAGAATCTTGCAAATGCAGGGGCTAGACTTTAGAGCTCTATGAGAAGGAAGAGAGTGGGTCTGGCCCACGAAAGCTCATCACCTAATAAACCATCTTGTTAGTCTTTAAAGTGCTACATAGTCCTGTCTTTTGTTTTGTTTTCCCAAATGAATGCCAATGTATTTCCCTCCCTTCTCTTTAAAGTCTCTTTTCTACACTGATGCTGTGCTTGCACGTGGGGAAGCATTGTCTCTCGGAAGTGCCCAGAAGTGGTGTGTGAATTTGCCAGGTTACTGGGCGGGAGCTTGAGTCACTTCTGTGTTGGATGGATGGAGAGGAACCCCTAGATACTGAACCCAGCCCTGGCTGCATCTGTCAGAAAGGTTTCAATACCAAGACACGCTTAATGGACACTGGACCATGGGTGGGAGACATCTGCACTGAATGGACTTTCCTGTGGATGTTCCCTCTGAAGTGTAGGTAATGGCCACTGCCGTGACTAAGCAAAGTTATGTACCTCCCCCCCTCCGGATGGGAGGTGAATTCTGCGGCTGCACCTCTGAACTCTGGGTCTGCCTTGACCAGGGCAGCAACTGTGAGTGGGGTGCAGAGCAGGGCTGGGCATGTGAAGGGGACATTCACATTGCTGGACTTAAGAATTTGAGAGGAACAGGACCTTGGCTCAGCCTAGTTACGGTGGGAGTGTTACTCATGTTTTTTGCTTATGAATTCTGTGATGTTTTCCCAAATGAATGCCAATGTATTTCCCTCCCTTCTCTTTAAAGTCTCTTTTCTACACTGATGCTGTGCTTGCACGTGGGGAAGCATTGTCTCTCGGAAGTGCCCAGAAGTGGTGTGTGAATTTGCCAGGTTACTGGGCGGGAGCTTGAGTCACTTCTGTGTTGGATGGATGGAGAGGAACCCCTAGATACTGAACCCAGCCCTGGCTGCTGTTGGCTGCATCTGTCAGAAAGGTTTCAATACCAAGACACGCTTAATGGACACTGGACCATGGGTGGGAGACATCTGCACTGAATGGACTTTCCTGTGGATGTTCCCTCTGAAGTGTAGGTAATGGCCACTGCCGTGACTAAGCAAAGTTATGTATGGACATGTGACTCCATACTCCATCTTGACCTGTAATTTTCCATAGTAAGAACAAAGCTATAAAAATCCCTGGAAACACATCGTTTTGCCTCTTTCCTGATCTGGACTACGGACTTACGCCAATGGAAGCAGTGTCTCAGAGACTGAGGTTCTGCCAATGATTTGGAAGCAACCAATCTTCACCTAAGCCAGCAGCTAATTAAATTTCCATCACTGCTACACGCCTGAGCCTTGGCAATTACTGTGTGCCTTTGATTCCTTTAACCAATTTTAACTCCCACTCCTCTTTCTTTTTATAAATAAACCTTTAGATACTAAAGGATTGTCAGCGTGATAAATAAACCTTTAGATTTTAGATACTAAAGGATCGTCAGCGTGATATTGTTTTCCCAAATGAATGCCAATGTATTTCCCTCCCTTCTCTTTAAAGTCTCTTTTCTACACTGATGCTGTGCTTGCACGTGGGGAAGCATTGTCTCTCGGAAGTGCCCAGAAGTGGTGTGTGAATTTGCCAGGTTACTGGGCGGGAGCTTGAGTCACTTCTGTGTTGGATGGATGGAGAGGAACCCCTAGATACTGAACCCAGCCCTGGCTGCTGTTGGCTGCATCTGTCAGAAAGGTTTCAATACCAAGACACGCTTAATGGACACTGGACCATGGGTGGGAGACATCTGCACTGAATGGACTTTCCTGTGGATGTTCCCTCTGAAGTGTAGGTAATGGCCACTGCCGTGACTAAGCAAAGTTATGTATGGACATGTGACTCCATACTCCATCTTGACCTGTAATTTTCCATAGTAAGAACAAAGCTATAAAAATCCCTGGAAACACATCGTTTTGCCTCTTTCCTGATCTGGACTACGGACTTACGCCAATGGAAGCAGTGTCTCAGAGACTGAGGTTCTGCCAATGATTTGGAAGCAACCAATCTTGACCTAAGCCAGCAGCTAATTAAATTTCCATCACTGCTACACGCCTGAGCCTTGGCAATTACTGTGTGCCTTTGATTCCTTTAACCAATTTTAACTCCCACTCCTCTTTCTTTTTATAAATAAACCTTTAGATTTTAGATACTAAAGGATCGTCAGCGTGATATTCAGGGTAAGATGTAAGTAATCTATTGACCTGGGTGTGTAGCTGGTTCTTTGGGACCAGAAGACTGTTTGGAAAGAATCACTCCTCTCTGAGTCCAGTATTTTGGATGGTGATACAAGGATTGGAGTTCCTCGGGAAGCTGCTTTTATGACTTCTTGTAAGCCAGAGTGGTGAGGCAGAAGTTTACTCTGGTGGCTGGTTTGATATATCTCATGAGAGAATAATCAACAGCATTTTGGGGTGCATCAGTAATTTGTCCTGAATTTGGTTATTCTCAGACATGACACACAAAGTCCCTATATGGATACTGACCTGGATGCACAGAGCAACTGGCACTGCTACTCATTCTCCTCTCTCTTCTCCCCCCCGCCTATACACACTGAATGCTGCTCCTACCCACACATCTGGATGTACACAGCACCTGGTGATGCTCCTCACTCCTGACCCCCCCCTCCACACCATACTCCCATGGGGAAAGAGGAAGGAACCTTGAGGGGGGTGAACAGTATCTGTGTGTCACTGCTCCCCCAATGCTCCTCTGCCAGGAGGAAGCAGAAAGAAATCTGGGTGCTTCCGCAGGGGTGTACACCTCTGTGCTGCTGCACAGCACTCTCTTGACCACCAGGCACCCCAGGCAGCCCACCCCCAAGACCAGTCCTCATTTCTTTGCTCTGACTTTGCACTTGCGGTTGATTTCATCTAACTATGTCATGCTGACTAAAGCGACTGTGACTTATCACTAGAACTGTGATCACAAGAAGTCCCAGAGAACTACTGCTGCTTCCTGTTGTGGTCTTGTGGTCTCTTGAAACTAACTCAACTTCATGTAATGGAACAGATTTCCTTATTCAGGTGAATGTGCAATTGCTGTGTCTTACTGGCAGGAGTGAGATGGCACAGAAAAGAACAAGTACGCATTTGGTCTAAAAACCACCATCCTCTAGTTCTTCCCATCTACGTGCATTCATTACAGAATGAAGCTGTAATGTGCACCGATATGGGCGTGATGGGTGGCAGAATGGGGGGGCCAAGGGATCTGGAGTGTGGGAGGGGGCACAGAGCTCAGGCAGAAGATTGGAGTACAAGGGAGTGAGGGCTCTAGCGTGGGGCCAGGGATAAGGAGTCTGTGGTGCAGGATACCCAAAAGCTACAGTGGGGAGAGAGGACTTTCCCCCAACCCACTGGGCTGGGGGGCAAACGGGGGGGAGGGGGAGAAGCACCTTCAGGGCTGTTCCCTAAGGTGTAAGGGACCTGGTCCATGCCCTGCCCACCACTTCTTCCCACCCCAATTGCACCCTATGTCCTCTCTCTCCGAGCGATGTGGCCTGGTGCCAGCAGAAGGGGTTGGGCCTACCCCTGCCTTCACTGGGGACAATGGGAAGCAGAGCGACCCAACGCCCACCTGCTCCATTCCAGTGGCTCCTATTCCCACTTCTGGAGAATGTGGGGGCAGTCCCACCCCTTTCCCGACAGCTCTTCCCCAGCAACGCAGCTGGGAGCCCGGGGAGGGGAGCAGCCTGGGGCCTGGTTGCTCTGCTTCCCACCACCACCTCTGCTGCCTGTGCCAGGGTCCCAATGGATCCCCTGGGCTGCCCTGGGCCTTGCAGGGCCCTTCCATCACACAGGCCTTGGGGAGTTGCCCCAAACTCGAATGGACAGGACAGCTCTGGGCACTTCTCCCCACCATGGCAGCTCCAGGGCTAAGACTGGGGCAGAGGCGCTTCTCCTTGCCACAGCAGGTCTCAGGTTGGGTCCAGGGGAGAGGCATCTCTCCCCACCACAGCCCTGAGCCCTGCATGGCCCTCGATTGGCTGCTGTACAGTAGTGCAGCTTAGAGGCGACTCAGACCACAATATTTCTGAGCTCCTAGTTCTAAGAATATTTCACATTTAAACCACACTGGTCTATTCAAAGCAGTTTGCAAACTCAGGGTCAGCTCTGGCCACCCTTAATCATGCGATGTAGTATTTTGTTCTGCAAAGTGATGGAAATGACACAGACTGCTCACAGAATAAGCTGCACCCTGAAAATAGAACTTGCAAATGACTGTCATTCAGCAATACTGCTGAGAACCGAATGAAACAATGGGCTTTCCCCAAAGGTACCAAAACCTCAAAACTTTCTGGCCAGATTCAGGCATCTGACCATTGCTTACACACAGGTGGCAATGTGCCCAAGGTAGCTCCAGAAATAATTGTCCTCAGCCTGTCATGGATCCCCAGTGAACAGGGACATGGTACACGTTCCTCCATGGATGGGTCAGAAAAAAGAGTTATCAGACCACAGCATGGAACTGAATTGCAGAGGTTTAGATTCTAACTTAGGGTACGTCTACAATGGAACACTATTTCAAAATAACTAGCGCTATTCAGGAATAACTTAGTCAGCATCTACACAGCAGGCAGTTATTTCAAAACAGTGTCAAAATATTGTCAAGCTGGAGGACTTCTTACTCCGACTCTTGTAACCTTCATTGTATGAGGAATAAGGAAGTCGGAGGAAGAGTTCTCTGTTTCGAAATAAGTGTTGTGTAGACGCGACCTATTTTGAAATAAGCTATATCGAAGTAAGATACACAATTGACGTAGCTCAATTTGAGTAGCTTCTTTCGAGTCAAGCCCTGCAGTGTAGATGCAGCCTTAGTTGTTACTCAGTGAGTCTAGCAATGAGAGTTGCAATGCAGAAAACTTGCATCTTCTCTGGGTGCAGACAGGGAGCTGTTTGGATTGGACACATGGGCCTTTTCTCTTCCCTAACTGGAAGAGGGTAACTGTTAGAAACAAATTTCCAGTGTGATTCATAACACCACATTTGAAACTTGTGTCCATAGTAATTCAATCATATTGGAATACAATTTGCTGATTGACTCATAAACCTGCTCACTAAGGGTACGTCTACACTACACACTTATTTCAAAATAAGCTATTCTAGAGTTATTCTGAAATAGCTTATTTTGAAATAGCATATCTACACTGCAAGGAAGCCTGAAAATTAGTCCGAGGCCGGTTTCCCTAATGTAGACGTGCTATCTCTATGTAGAGCGCCAGGAGGCACTGGGGAGGAATAACTTAGAATGGCCCTGGTGAGGGGCTATTTTGAAATAGCAGCAGTGGAGCATCTACAGGCGCCTTATTTCGAAACAGCTATTTCG